TCTATCACAGGGCACAAGGCAGGGGTCACCCTGTATGGGATGCCAGTCCATCACAGGGCACATACACACACTGGCACACTGAATAACATTCTACAGTTTAGCCCAGTGTTTCTCAAACTGGTCTTCAGGGACCCCAATCAGTCCACATCAGGGAGCTCCGAGGGAGCAAAAATGTGAAATTTCTGGCAAGAAGCAAAAATGTGGACTGTGCTGGCTGTGTAGCGTGGCCTATAGCAGGGGTCTCCAACTCCGGTCCTGGAGAGCTACCGTCCAGTAGGTTTTCTATGCTACCCGGCTTATTTACCTGTTCTCAGGTAAATACCAAGAGCAGGTGTGGCTCATCAGAAGCCAAGCGGGACAGAAAACCTATTGGATAGTAGCTCTCCAGGACCGGAGTTGGAGACCCCTGGCCTATAGTATAGAGAGGCTGTTAGCACAGCGCAGCCTGTGACCCGAGACAGTCACTGGAGCGTGATGACAAACATCATTCCTGTCTACGAGCCACAGGATAGAGGTGTCCCAGCCCCCCCCGCCACACACCCCGCACACACACACACACACACACACACACACACAGCACCCCCTGGGAAATCAGAGCTCAGGGGGAGGCTGGCAATACGGCGACATGCTGCCCAGCAGCAGACAGCAGACCTACTTCCTGTAGGCACATTTCACATTGTAGCCGGCGGCCGAGTTGAGCACAGGGATCCCCAGGTCCTGGTACACCTGCTTCCAGACAGAGCCGCTGTCGATCTGTGGAGGGGGGGAGGTTAATTGGGCTGAGGTGGTGCCCCCTAGCTCCAGATACCACTATCCAAGATGTCAGATTGCTTGACAGAAGCGCCATTTATCAATAGCTACCAGTGCAAGGCATGTGAACAGAAAACATGACGTCATTACAAGCGTCCCGAAACATTCAAAAGAGACAAAAATTGGCGGCAGGAGGGCAGAGGTGGGACACTCACGCTGTCAAAGCCCCCGAGTTTGTGCACCAGCCTGTAGAGCTTGAACAGGTTGAGGTTCCTGTAGCCCAGTACTGGCCGCTTGTTGATGGGGGTTCCTGTGGGAATGGGGGGGGGGGGGGGGGGGCGACACCGTCAGTTGTCATGGGATCTGGTAAACTGGAACAATTTTGGGAACTTCTCACCCAACCCTCAGCATCGCTATATCCTATATGGGATGCCAGTCTATCACAGGGCACAAGGCAGGGGTCACCCTGTATGGGATGCCAGTCCATCACAGGGCACATACACACACTGGCACACTGAATCACATTCTACAGTCTAGCCCAGTGTTTCTCAAACTGGTCTTCAGGGACCCCAATCAGTCCACATCAGGGAGCTCCGAGGGAGCAAAAATGTGAAATTTCTGCCAAGAAGCAAAAATGTGGACTGTGTGAAGATCTGGGCTGAGAAACACTGGTTTAGCCTATTTGCATGTATTTGGACTGCAAGAAGAATCTTAAACACTATTAAGAGTAGATGCAGGCTCCACACACAGAGGAGTGGGATTCGAACCCCCATCCCTGGAGGTGTGAGCCATCAGCACCCTCTCGGTCTACACATATCACCAGGAATATCTGATTAAGGTAAAAACATTCAACTTGAAATTAATTTATAATGACTCATTTACAACAGCTCATTTACACATTACGATTTTATATTACCATGACTGGACAGAAACATACTAGTGAATTTCAGAACTGAACGCACAATTTGATCTGAGTAGACTAAAAAAAAAAAAAAAAAACCTCATTATGAATCCTTTCTGGCTGCCCATCCATAAATGACATTACATACAGCATAAATGCAACACATTGAAAATCACCACAACTTCGCAAGTCTCAAAATAATAGATAAATAGTAAATAATATAATTATATGACACGTATCATTTCTACAATAAATATTATGATTATACATTATGCATAAACGCCCAATATAACACTCATTTAATCACAGCCAGACACTTTAGCAATGTGAAACCTTATTAGCTGTTAAAAACACACGGTTTATTTGTGAATTAACGATGAATCCCAGCATATCACTGGCAAGACAGCCTCTGTTGGCGTCCATGCAGCTGGGAAATGCCACGGGTCCCTCACCTCTGTCCTCCATGAACTTGTAAAGCTGCTGCAGGAAGTTGTCTTTTTCCTCAGGAAAAGGCTCCACTTCCTCCTTTAAGAAAAGCCCACAGAGAGTCAGCAGGGAGCCTCGACAGAGGGAGGGGGAGGAGCCAAGGAAAAGTGGGGGTCCCCCAATACAGATCACATTTCAGTAATGGGAGATTACAGATTCAAGCGCGTTCAGTCAACCGTACGTTCTTCTATCTTCCTGATCTTGTGCGAGTTTTTTTTGTGGGGGAAATTCAGAAGACCCCTGTGAGCAAGATACTTAGTTAGCATATTTAATTAATGAGATATAGCGACTGCCCCGAGATGGACTCCGGCACCCCCCGGCACCCCCCGGCACCCCCCGGCACCCCCGACGCACAGCAAAGGCTGCTGGGAAAACGGTAGAAACACAGGGAGTGACTTAATTAAAGGGGGCAGAATCTTGTCATCTCATTACCTGGTTATCTTTGGAACGTTAAAAATTACACTTCAGCTCTCTTATTCCAGATTAAACATCCAATTAATCAAAAGCAAATACTACTGGGGGGTTTATTATTAATGTCGCTAGACGGGACCCCCCCCACGCGATCGCTAACAGGAGGCTCCATTAACATGTGAACCGTGACGCTGGTCTCCTAGGAAGGCCGCCCACCCACAGCACCTCCTCCTCCTCGCTGCTGGCATCCTCCTCCTGAGCCTCTTCCTCATCCACATCCTCCTCCTCACTGCTGGAGGTGTCCTCCTTCACTTCCATTCTCCAGGAGGCGGGCACCAGTCCACTCCGGAGAAAATCCAAAGCCCCTTCCAGTGCTGTGGGTGGGGGTGGGTTGCGAGGGGGGGGCAAGGTACAGAACAATAGATTATCATGGGGTTTTGCAGGAACACAGGTGACTGTCAGATATCTGACCGTCCATCAGTCCCCCTGGATCAGGTGTGCTTCCCCTAAGGCAGTCTTTCTCATTCCAGTACACAGGGACCTCCCAGTCAGTCCACGTTTTCTCCCTCCCAGTTCCCAACCCACCTGTACCAGGTATTCAGTGTTCTTGATTGTTTGGTTCGTTCTTGATTGTTTGGTTCGTTCTTGACTGTTTGGTTTAGGTGTTCTGGGTTCTGTGTAGAAACACTGGTCTAGGCAGCCCACTACAGTTCCCACTAGGCCAAACAAAACATCCAGCCCCCACAAGAGGCTTATTACACTAACAAACTGCAGCAACTGAAAAAAGATTCAATAAAACAAACTGCCTCCCCCCCCCATGGTACCAGTGGTTCGCTTTGCAGAGTCCCAGCATCCCCACTGAACAGGCAATAATGACCATTATCTCTACCCTCCTGCTACATATTTACCGTTGAACGAGCTCCTGACCCACAGATCGCGGACCCTGTTAATGTGAAGGTGCTCACCACACACTGGCTGCTCCGAGATCAAAGGCGACCCGAGGAATACCGCCATGACGGAATGGGCCATAGTGGTGTACCGCCGGGAGCGTGGACGGCCGGCCGGCTCACCATCAATAAGCCTCGCCGGGGCCTCTCCCATAATCCCCTCTCTGCAAACCGTCACGCTGCATATCCTTAGTCGTGATTACCGTTCCCGCTCTTAACGCCACGCCTGAACGCGGGCGGGTTTAACGCAAGGTCTAGCGTACAGTTACGTCAAAAATTCACACAGAGAGGAAGAGGCGTGTCTGAAGGGTGTTAACAAGCAGGCCTTATGGTTTTGTCGGGATGCACAAAATAGGAGGAATCCCATGATGCTGGAGTAAGGGGGTCTCAGATGCAGCAGGGCATTATGGGTCATTATGAGAGAGAGGATCGTTATTCACCCACCATGGCCTGTCTAAGCGGTCACTGCAAAGGGCTCCTGTTAACAGCCTTGACCTCAAGATAATCTCCCAGCAGGAGGAGTCATGTCCCTTTACTGGTGTCACGAGGCAAACGCCCCCTCTGGATTACCTGTTATTGTGTCAGTGCCCCTCGCCCCCGCCCCCCCAAGCCTCCTTACCTGCCTTGAGTCCAGGCTCTGCTTCAGGGGGAGTCTCGTCATCCAGCTCCTGGACATCCTTCCGTAACACAGTGTAGCTGTAACACAGACAGGCGCCCCCTTGAGGAGAGCAGACACAGCGCAGGGCTGGCGGGGGGCCGGCGCCACACGCAGCCGATACCAAGGCGGAGATCCCGCCCCATGCGGGGATTTCCTCCGTGTGCTACGAGCCAGGAGCCATGCTAAGCACGTCTGTCTTGAACGCTCAGGGGAAAAATGCTAATTAGCAGGAATGGATTAGCTAGGATAGTGTCTCTCTCAAACGGTTTCGGAGGAGTGGAGCGCCCTGCCGTACTTTTTACAGCGGACACCCTGAGATCGAGGCATCTGAGGGAAACCCCGCGTTCATTTGCGCAAGTGCTACACATATGTGGCAAAGAATGTCACTGCTGGCTCAGAGAAATAACATGGACTGATCCTGAGGGCTATGTCTGTAGACCACAGTCATGCTGACATCTGGCACAAACCAGCCATTTGTCACATCTATTTTGATGCTTTTATTATCCAATAAAACATTTAATAATCTAAGCCAGGGGTGGACAATCTTATCCATAAAGGGCCGGTGTGTATGCAGGTGTTTGTGGTAACCTTTAGGTCAGCTGCTCAAACCCAGGTGTGAGGACTCTTCAGCCAATCAGTCCTCTAATTAGTAATTAGGGAGTTGCAGTAAAAACCCGCATAGCCAATGGGCCTTTCTGGATAAGATTGCCCACCCCTGATCTAAGCATTGAGTTTCCTGAACATCTAGTCGGAGTTTTGTAAGTTTTGTGTCCGTAACATATTTAGGTGTCAAATATTGCTGAGTGCAGTTATTAATTCTTATAAAATAAGAAAATTACATTTGTTTAAGCACTCAGCAAAGCCCATTCAAACATCCCGAGTGATGAACTATGGAGTTCGAGCTGCAGAAACATCTCACATCTTTCTAGACACATCTGTCTTTCAGCATTGTAAAGCAATGTGGCCCTGAACCCACAGATGGAAGCTTCCTTGAGTCCTCAACAGGTTTTTTATTTGGATAAATGCTACACAGCTGATAACACAGAACTTTTCCACATAAAGGTGCAGGGGTGGGATTTTGATTAATTACCAATGAGTAAAAATAAATAAATCCCACCTTAGAAGCATATCCAGGGTCCTCAGATCAAAGTGAAGTTCGTGACACTATAATAACGAGCCTCCCACACTTTTTCACCGTTGAAATGAAGTCTCTCGTTAAGGGTAATTCTCTGAGATTGCAGAGTCAGTCTGCTCAGAGTCGCCGCCGCTTGAGTACGCATCAGAGCCGCGTTTCCAATCAGCCTGCAGATAGTCTTACACCAGCACCAGGCGCGAGAGTCTCTCCCCCTTAAAGGAGTTCTTGCCATGTTTAATTAGGGAGTGGAACAACGCTCAATTAACATCGTAATCAGTCCCATTAATGTCCAGTATCCGAATCGTTTAGGGAGGCCTTTAGCAGGTGGGAACAAGCACGGGAGCGAGGGTCACGAAGGACCACAAGCACGGGAACGAGGGTCGCGAAGGACCACAAGCACGGGAGCGAGGGTCGTGATTCGCCCCCTCAATAAAACACAGGTTCCAGTAACAGAGACTGTACACTGTAAAGACTATACTACCTTCACCTTTCCTGTCTGTTTTTAATGACATTATTCTGTGTGAAGGGATCTCAGAATACGGATTTCATTTTTCGTCACTGATAAGTCACCTCCTGTGGCATCGAACGAACATTTGTTCAATTCGTCTGTGTGTCTGACACTACTACAGCGAGACACTAGCCCTGTTCAGTGTTGGAGGTGTAGTCACGTGCTCGCCGATGTTCATGCCACTTACAATTTCCCGTCCTTGAAGGAGCGGACGAGGACTGTGTCCTTTTTCATCGTCAGTTCCTCGCTGCAGTCGGGCGAAATGACCTTGAGGTTGTGTTTTTTTTTTTTTTAATTACCCAGGAAGGGAAGACACAAGGGGGAGAGAATTTAAAAGCCGGGCAGCCGGTGAGCGGACAGGAGAAAGACAGGGTTACAAAACATTCAAGTCACGGTTGCGGCTACGGTCACTGTCACACCCCCAAAGCCACAAAACTGAGGACTCATTATTCATATTTGCAGATCTTAGACAAATATAATCATTCAAAACTGGAAATACTATAACAGTAAAGTGATTAAGTCCTTGCTGTACAAAGAGGACACTTAGTTAAAAAAAGCCTAAATTCCTGTGCTCTGCCAGAAACGCGTTAGCAAGCAGAAGGCTAGCCGCCCAAACGAGGTAAGCGTGTCACACGGCCGGCCCATATGGCTTCAGTGCGAGGTTCGCAGCAGGGAGACCTGCCCAGCGAGTGACCCGCACACTCCCCAACTCCAGGCTCGACAGCAGACACCAGGCCTACTTCTTCGCTACCCAAGCTAATTAGCTGCTAAAGCAGTCGCTTGGCCACATTAAGGGGAGAAAGTGGTACAGGAGGCGCATGGAGTGTGTAAAGGAGCCACGTCCCAAAGTCATCGCCGTGCCGACTGGGGGGGTGATTAATGGGACGACGGGATGGCATCGGCCCCAAGACTATGGCAGCACAAAGACAGGCTTTTGTGTCCGAACCACAGAAAAACAGGTGCTTGGGTCCAAACCACAGAAAGACAGGCGTTTGGGTCAGTCATCGGCGCGTCTGCATACGAGTGACCCGATGGTGCCTGTACGGTTCTGGGGCCCAGGGGCTTACCAGCGCTGGGTACCATGCACTCTTCTTTTTGTCGCCGGGGGCGACGCAGTCCACGCTCACCACCTTTCCTAGCAGCTCGTCGTTCACCGGCCGCTCTGCCTCCTCCTCCTCGCTGGAGGATGAAGACAGCTCCTCTTCTTGGCTGCCAGGAAGAAAGAAAGATGTCACATGGCTAATGCCAGGGCAACACAGAGGCTCAGTCTTAGGGCAGGAGGACGAATGCTCAACATGAAATACACCTCCTCTGTAGTGAAAGTACAGGGAATAACAATACTGTGGTGTTTACAGGCAAGCTCGCTCATCCATCCATCCATCCATCCATCTTCTACACCACTTGTCCTATGTGGGTCCTGGGGGCCCGAAGAAACAACATGCCAAGGTGGGGAACAACCCCGGACAGGGGCCTGTTCAATTAAATATGTTTTAATAAGGGCTGTCAAAATTAACGGTATAACGCGGATTAATCCATCATCATGATTAATCTGATTAAAATTTTTAACGCAATTAACCCATCTGCAGCACAGAATGATTCAAAATCCCTGAAATGTCTCTGTCAACCCATTTCGGGCAGTTTTAGTGCGTTCCATTTGCCCTCGGAACTCGTATTCCGAGTCGGATTCCGGAGTTGTGAAGCCGGAAGTGACGACATGCGCTCCCGTTTCTCAGAGATCCGAGAAATATCTCGGAGCAGCACAGAGGATCCCAAGTTCAGAAGTTGTAGTTTTATACTGTTTATGCACTACTTCTCATTTGTGGCTCATTAAATCGGTCGCACAC